ACTTTCTATAGTTCAGGTGAACTTTCTATAGTTCAGGTGAACTTTCTATAGTTCAGGTGTACTTTCTATAGTTCAGGTGTACTTTCTATAGTTCAGGTGTACTTTCTATAGTTCAGGTGTACTTTCTATAGTTCAGGTGAACTTTCTATAGTTCAGGTGTACTTTCTATGTCCAGGTGTACTTTCTATAGTTCAGGTGAACTTTCTATAGTTCAGGTGTACTTTCTATAGTTCAGGTGTACTTTCTATAGTTCAGGTGAACTTTCTATAGTCCAGGTGTACTTTCTATAGTCCAGGTGTACTTTCTGTAGTCCAGGTGTACTTTCTGTAGGAGTAAAGACAAAAAAACATGTCCAGACAGAAATGATTAAAAATACAAACGGGTAGATTAGAGCAAGTAAAGACAGCAGTGGAGAGTGGACATGTGGTCAGTTTGTCCTCCAGCAGTCTAAGCCTATAGCAGCAGAACTAATGGATTGGTCAGGAAACCCAAGCCAACCCTAACTATAGGATTTATCAAACAGAAAGTCTTAATCCCAGTTTTAAAACTGGACAATGTGTCAGCCTCATGGACAGAGATTGGAAGTTGGTTCCACAAGAGAGGAGCCTGAGAACTGAAAGATCTTCCTCCCTTTCTGCTTTTGGAAACTCTAGGAACCACAAGTAAACCTGCAGTCTGACAGCAAAGTGCTCTGTTAGTAAAATATGGAACTTATCTATATATAAATATTTCTAATTCAGCTAAATACAATCCAGCTTGTTTTTTGCAGCGTGTGTCCGAAGTTTCCCACCCAGGGGGACAAGCACCTCCGCGAGGACATCAGCATCATGATCCGCTTCTACGCCAACATCCTGTCAGACAAGAAGTACCTGGCGGCGTGCCACCTGGTGCCACCCGGTGAGCTTGGTACCACCCCGGGCCCGAGCACACTCTCTGCCGGGATATTCGGATCGCTTATCGTGTCCAGCACTACTCCAATTTCGATTTTAAGTAAGCGTGAAGCGTTGGAGCTCGGGCTGGGGGGTGCCTGACAATGTGCTGCTGCTTCTCCTCACAGAGCCGCCTCCTCCTGTTTAGACGGGCTCGTTCAGCACGTTGTGACATCACACGTTGCTCCTGCTTTTTGGAAATATTTAACTGTCATTCTGTTTTCTCTGAAAATGCATCGATGACTCTTTAAATCCTGAAATCGTCCTGTTTTAGCTTTCAGCTACCGTTTTGCTAGTTTTAGCTTTTATTTAGCTAATTGGAGCTTTCCTGATGGTTTTAACTTGAACAGTTACAGCTGGACATTTTCCACAAGTGATTCAGGATTCGCTCGACATCTTCACAGATTGTTTCCATTTGACCTTTCTGTTTTTTAATTCGCTCTGGATCTTGAACTTCTCGCGTCTGTGAGGAGAAGCGTGTTTGTCAGATGTGTCGAGATGCATGATCCTCCATCAGACTACCCTTCTGCCTCCCAATCATTAAGTTCCTGCTGTCATACGCATGGATCTGCTTCAGGTAGTCCTCAAACCCTAGATTCTGGATCAGATTACTCAGTAAACATCTGACCTGAGATCTGCGGTCTGATGCATCAACCTGCCCTCACCCTGACCATCAGAGCAGGACTGAAGCTTCTCCAACAGTCTCTCATCCTCGATCATATCTTCATGTTTTTATGTGTAGAAGTTGAATTAAAGGTGTTCTCGTTTCCGAACTTGCCGGGTGTTACAGAGCAGAAGTTTAGTTGGGTCTCTTACTGCGTGCGTTTTTACGTCGACAGACAATCAGGACGCTTCGTTGAACAGCCTGTCGGTGATGAACGCCGCCGACCTGAGGAGCAACATGGACTCCAGCTCTCGCTCCCAGCAGAGCGGACAGGGCTGGATCAACACCTACCCGCTGTCGAGTGGCGTGTCCACCTTGTCCAAGAAGTCAGGTACAACGTGGCCCCTTAAATTGTCCAGGCACAGAGGGAGTACCGTAATTTCCAGACTATAGAGCGCACCTGAATATAATAAATATTTTTAATTTAATATATAATAATGTATTTTTCAAAATTAATTACTCCAGTGTTAACTTGTGACAGTGAGTGTTCGCTCAGACTCAGCACTTTAACTTCCTGCATCGTTTCTTGTGTTTCTAGGCACGTCCAAGAAGAGCAACAGAGGAACTCAGCTTCATAAATACTACATGAAACGCCGCACTCTGCTGCTGGCGTTACTGGTGAGTCCAGAGAACCGTTGGACCGTGTTCCTCACATGCTTCAGACTCTGACTCGTCTCCGGTGTTTTCAGGCCAGTGAGATTGAACGGCTGACCACGTGGTACAACCCCCTCTCCGCTCAGGAGCTGGCCATCGCCACGGAGCAGTCAGTGGAGACCAGCATCGCCAACTGGAGGTCCAAATACATCAGTCTCACAGAGAAACAGTGGAAGGACAACGTCAACTTGGCCTGGAGTATTGCCCCTTACCTGGCCATGCAACTACCAACAAGGTTCCACAACAAACCTGAAATATCTGCAATAAATAGACTAAAATTCTTGAATGTAAAAGGAAGGAAATGCTTTTTTACTTGTTCTGTTTTTGCAGCTTGAGTTAGCTCTTATTCAGGTTGTCACGAATGGTGTAGGTCTAATTATTGATCGCAGCAGAGTTTATTTTTTTTTGTAGAGAAGTAAAGATTTCAGACAAACAATGCATTTCATTGAGGACAACAAAGATAACGTTACTAACACTGATATATTTTACCTCTACGTTAGATTTATTGTTCTAGATAAAGTTTTACAAGGCAGTAGTCTATGCTAGGTTATCTAAACATTAGCTTGCTAACTTGAGAGGCACGTAGCTCATGACGAGCAGGTTGGAGGATTGAAGAGATTTTATTGTTGTTGATTTATTTTACAGATCAGTTAAAATAAACTCACCATGATCTGTTCAGCAAAATACTCTACACAGTGTTGCTCCCTACTTCGGCTGTGCTGAAAGCGAAACTTAAGTGAACGTCCATGACTTGAAAGTTGTCTTCAAGCGCCCCCTGCTGGATACTTTGTGCAATTACAACTGGTTCCTGCATTTTAGGGCTGAAAATCAGAATAATTTATATGTAATTATGCAGCAAACTTATGGTGTTGAGGGCCGTATTGGGTTAAACTGGGGAATCTGACCCACGCATGTTTCCAAACTGACGTCATTCCAGGTCACTTCTTTATGCAACGATCGGTTTATTCCGTTTCAAATTTCCATACATTAAACATTACACAGACTGAAGCACAGACTGACCAGGTCCAAACAATTGATGAATGCTTGGCATAACTTGCTACGGCATCTTATAACGCGTTCAACAGAAAATATGACGACCCCGGGCACACCCAACTTCCTCATCCATACAAATCCAAAACGCCAGTAAGCACGCCATTTATATCTGGTGACAGTCACACACACATGGACACACCCACCACCCAAGTGTTAAAGCTGCGTGCTCACCTGTCACGTCATCAATTGCTTATTTCACTCATATGGCTCTTACAATGTCTGTACATAACTGGTATGTCCTCAAACATCTGTATCAGCCTAAATTATCGGCCCTGACGATATATCAGTCGGGCTCTAGTTGTTGTTTCTGTAACTTTACTGTAAGACAAATGTTTCAGAGTTCATTACTTACAGTCGCACCACACTAGAAGAAAAGGAGAGTTGAAGAAAGAGACTTTATTCAAGAAGAAAATAAATGTAGTTTTTGTAGACCCTAGTTTGACAAAGTCTCTCTAAGATCTAATTTGGTGCCCTCCGTGGCCGCCTCAGTCACTCTGCCACGTCTTAGGATTTTAAAGTGAGACCCTTTTATTGGATTGAGATTCACTTCTTTTGTTTACAGGTTTAAAAATGACGCCATCGTCGCTGAAGTGACCAGATTGGTGAGGCTGGACCCTGGAGCAGTCAGCAACGTCCCTGAGGCCATCAAGGTGCAATCTCTCGGTCTTCCAATGTACTGTCTGACTCGTCTTCTGTTTAAACTTGACATGAAACGTGGATCTTCTCTGTTCCAACAGTTTCTGGTGACGTGGCACACGATCGACGCCGATTCTCCTGAGCTGAGTCACATACTGTGTTGGGCTCCAGCTGACCCGCCTACCGGTCTGTCCTATTTCAGCAGTTTGTACCCTCCTCATCCTCTCACCGCCCAGTACGGAGTTAAAGTGCTGCGCTCGTTCCCTCCGGTACGTCACCTGCAGCTCAGAGACACCACCTTGTTTTCTAAAGCTCAGTCTAGTAGTTAAAGTGTTCATTTGTCCTCGTAGGACGCCATCTTGTTCTACATTCCTCAGATTGTGCAGGCGCTCCGATACGACAAGGTAAACACGAACCACTCACCTCTCTCACACTCTGGAGAGCAGTTTGAACTCTTTTTTTCTGCTCAGATGGGTTACGTCAGGGAGTACATCTTGTGGGCTGCTCAGAAGTCTCAACTTCTGGCCCACCAGTTCATCTGGAACATGAAGACCAACATCTACGTGGACGAGGAGGGACACCAGAAAGACCGTGAGTGGACATGCCAAAGCTCACTTAAGAATATTGAAATGATTTTTGATCAAACGCATTTGTTTTACGTCCCAGTGCTTTGTGTAAAATATAAATTCAAGCAGATTGCCTCATGAACCCAGAGTTTATTCATAATGAAACACTTTAAACATAAATTAATTTAGAAAAATGAAACAAAGGTGGTTTTGAATTAATGAGGAGGAGAATAAAGAGTTTTGTTGCAGTCTTGTTGAGGCCATCCAATCGAACGATGATACAGGGATTAAACTGATGCTGCTTGCAACCAGTAAAGAACCAGAGCCACAGTTGACCCAGTCCGAGCAGAGCAGAGGGCGGGGCTTGATGTCTGGTTCATGGTGAGCAGCAGAGAGAGACTGCAGGTGAAAGCTCACCTGCTGCAAGCCGGAGTTCAACATCTCCAATGTTTGGAGGAAGGACATCAGCATTCCTGCAGAAGAACCTTATCCCATCTGTGAAACATGGTGGTGGTAGCATCATGGTCTGGGCCTATTTTGCTGCATCTGGGCCAGGACTTCTTGCCATCATTGATGGAACAATGAATTCTGAATATCAGAGAATTCTGCAGGAAAATGTCAGAACATCTGTCCATGAGCTGGATCTGAAGAGAAGGTGGGTCATGCAGCAACAAGGACCCTCAGCACAAAATGGTTCTACCAACGAATGGTTCAAGAAGAATAAAGTTCATGTTTTGGAACGGCCCAGTCAGAGTCCTGACCTTCGTCCAATCCAGATGTTGTGGAACGACCTGAAGCAGCAGTTAATGTGAGGAAACCACCAACATCCAGAGCTGAAGATGTTCTGTACGGAGGAATGGATCAAAGTCCTCCAAGGTGTGCAGGACTGATCAGCAGTTACCAGAAACGTTTAGTTATAGTTATTGCTGCACGGGGGGGGGGTCACACCAGGTACTGAACGCAGAGGTTCACATACTTTTACCACTCACAGATAAATAAATAAATAAATGACCAAGTCTAATATTTTGGTCTCATTTGTTTAACTGGGTTCTCTTTATCTACTTTAAGGACTTGAGTGAAAATCTGATGTTTTAGGTCAAATTTATGCAGAAATTTAGAAAATTATAAAGAGTTCACCAACTTTCAAGCAGCACTGTAGATGTTTACTTTGTCACTTTGATTTTATTTTTTGAATTTATTTCAGTGTACTGTTGTTCTGTCAGTTGTCTCTTGACAGTTAGACTTTGTGTCTCTATGTCAGTAAAGGTTAAGTCCAAGTGTTTTTGTGCAGCGGACATTGGGGAGTTGCTGGAGCAGATGGTGGAGGAGATCACAGGTTCTCTGTCAGGTCCAGCTAAAGACTTTTACCAAAGAGAGTTTGACTTCTTCAATAAGATCACCAACGTGTCTGCGATTATCAAGTGAGTGCATGAGCTTCCCAGGACCAGGACGGTGCTTTGTTTAACGCTCACCTCCGGGTGTTTTTGTTTTTCAGGCCAGTTCCAAAGGGAGACGAGAGGAAACGAGCCTGTCTCAAAGCTCTCTCCGACATCAAAGTGCAGCCAGGTACCAAACTGTTAGCTTTTATTGCAGACATCCAGTGTTTCCCCTAGCATTGTACCAGCAGGGTGCCCCGCCCTGTCGACAGAACCGAGCGCCCTGCCTACTGAACCAAGACAACACCCCCCCGCTTGACCACACTGCTAACAGGGACCCTCCCCCCCAGCTAGTGGTGCGCAGGAACCAACGCACTAGCTAAAAAGCTCAGTTTCCCTCACGCGTCAATGCTGCCGTCACTTTGTGAAACGACCCTCCTGCTTTACAAGCAGAGGAGCCCGTTGAGGAGGTTCAGGCATCTTATAGAGATGACTCCTGGACGCTTCCCTAGGGAGGTGTTTCAGGCATGTCCAACTGGGAGGGGGCCCTGGGAAAGACACGCTGAAGAGGTCATGTCTCTTGGCTGCACTGAGAACACTTTGGAGTCCTCCTGAAAGGACTGGAAGAGGTGGCTGTGGAAACACATCTGGACTTCCCTCTCCTGCAACCCAGCTCTGGAACAAGTGGATGGATGGACAGATGGATGGATGGATGGACGGACGGATGGATGGATGGATGGATGGATGGATGGACGGATGGATGGATGGACGGACGGACGGGCGGACTGACTGACTGACTGATTGACGGATGGATGGATGGATTGATGGATGGATGGATGGATGGATTGATGAATGGATGGATTGATGGATGGATGGAAGATTTTTTTTTAATGCTTTGGTCTAAAAATGCTCAAAAAGAAAAGAATTAACAAATAATTTGCGGTCATGTGTAATCCAGGTTGTTACCTGCCCAGTAATCCAGAGGCCGTAGTGCTGGACATTGACTACAAGTCTGGAACTCCCATGCAGAGGTAACCATTCGTACTTCACGGGGAAGTTCTTTTCTAATTAACCTGATCCTGCTGGTTCTTGTGTGTGCGTGCGTGCGTGCGTGCGTGCGTGCGTGCGTGCGTGTGTGTTTTCACAGTGCTGCTAAGGCGCCCTACCTGGCTAAGTTTAAAGTAAAACGCTGCAGAGTGAGTGAACTGGAGAAGGAAGGTCTTCGGTGTCCATCAGACTCTCTGGAGGACGGGGAGGAGAACCCAGATGGGTCATCCAGGGTTTGTTGGCAGGCAGCAATTTTCAAAGTGGGAGATGATTGCAGACAGGTACTCGTTCATCTTTTACTTACTGTTCACATTAACTGTGGCGGAAGAATCTCTGTTACTTCTTTGTGTGTTTCTGTTTTTTCAGGATATGCTTGCTCTGCAGATTATTGGGCTTTTTAAGAATATTTTCCAGCTGGTGGGTCTGGATCTGTTCGTCTTCCCCTACAGAGTGGTGGCCACTGCTCCAGGGGTAATACTCTTTCTCACTAAATAATAGGGATGTTACAGTACACTCAAGTCATGGTTTGGTGTGTACCTTGATATGAGTCACATTCCTGTATGTACCTCAGTGTAAGGGTCATAGTTTGGTGTATTCCTTGGTGAGAGAGGCCTAGTTTAATACAAACCTCGTGCAAATCTTGGTGTGAGCCATAGATCAGTATATACTTTGATGTAAATGTCATGGTTCAGTGCATACATCTGTACAAGAGTCATGATTTGATGTCTACCTCTGTAAGGGTCACAGTTCGTTATGTTTCTCTGTGTGAGGGTCACAGATTTGCGTGTACCATGGTGTGAGGGTCACAGTTTGGTATGGTCACTGGTTGATGCGTACCTTGGTGCGAGTACCATGGTTTGGTACAGTCAAGGTTTGATGCATACCTCAGTATGAGGGTCATAGTTTAGTATTGCCATAGTTTAGTGTGTACTTCAGTGTGAAGGTCATGGTTTGGTATTTTTCTTAGTGTGAGGGTCACATTTCAGTACAGACCTCGATGTGAGGGTCACAGTTTGGTGCGTACCTTGATGAGCGTCAATGAGATCAGTGACCTATAATAGGGTCGCGGTTTGATATGGTCACAGTTCAATACATGCCTCAGCGTGAAGGTCAACGTTCGGTACAAACACGTGTTTTATGAGCGTAGTGTGCGTCACAGTTTGGTACAGTCACTGTTCAGAGGTATCTCAGTGTGAGGGTCAAGATTCAGGACTATACGTATCTGTCATGTGCTTCTCTCTACTCATCTACCCACTACTGAATATCATTTTTTAGTTTTGGCCACCATTGTTTAAACTTTTTCATGACTTATCTGTGACACAAACGTCCGCTTGTGAAATAAATAACTTTATTTGCCATAAACCATGATTTAGCACAGGGTGTGTATTCCTGGTCCTGGAGAGCCACTATCCTGCATGTTTTCGTTGTTTCTCTACTCCAACACACCTGAGTCAAGGGCTGAATTACCCCTTCAAGTTCTGCAGAGGCCCGTTAATCATCCATTGATTCAAGTCATGTGTCTGAGCAGAGAAACAGCTCAAACCTGCAGGATGGTGGCCCTGGAGGACCAGAACTGGACAGCATCTTACCATCACATTCAGACTCGTACCTTTTCCTCAGTGTGGTGTGATTGAGTGCATCCCAGACTGCAAGTCCAGAGACCAGCTCGGCAGACAGACGGACTTTGGAATGTACGACTACTTCCGTAACCAGTACGGAGATGAATCCACCCTCGCCTTCCAGAAGGTTTTTCACTTTTACATGTTTATCTCTTGGTTGTTTACAGATTTCACTTGTGTTAGTTGACCCAACAATACGGACAACATGGAAATCAGAGCAGAAAGTGTTACCTGAATTCAAATAAATTGCTTTTTATGTTGTTTTATTCTTCCTAATGGAAGCTAGAATATTTAAAATCACATGAAATGTGCTGCATGTGTGTTTGTTTGTATACGGTGGCGCAGTGTCATGTTAGATCAGTGATCATTTTGACGCTGTCAGTTTAAGAACCGTAAATGTTTAGGTGTTGTATTTTTGCCTGAAAGATTAGATAGAACCTGATGCAGTTTAACAGTTCCTCTTGTGTTTTTAAAGGCTCGGTATAACTTCATCCGCAGTATGGCCGCCTACAGCCTCCTGCTGTTCCTGCTGCAGATCAAAGACAGACACAATGGAAACATCATGCTGGACAGCAAGGGACACCTCATTCACATAGGTGGGCTAGCCTCGACTCACCTGGGCTTCTCTAAAATGTTAGTTTTATCTCTAAACTTGGACCGTTGGGTCGATCCGGCACTCGCGGTACATGAGCGTTCATGACCCGTCACCACTGGACTCAAGGTCATGACCAAAAAGAGCTAACAGGGCACGAACAAAGCAGTTTGAATTATTTTCAACCGAACGTTTTAAGAACAAGGTGATGCACAGAGTTGTAGCAACTACAGGGGAATTAAGTTGATGAGTCACACGATGAAGATCTGGGAGAGAGTTGTGGAAGAAAGACTTGGACGAGAGGCGACTGTGAGCAGCAGGATGGTTTCATGCTGAGGAAGATCAGCACAGACACCATCTTTGATTTGAGGACGATGATGGAGAAGAACAGAGAGGGTCAGACTGGTACAGGACATGTACGAGGACAGCAGGACATGTACGAGGACAGCAGGACATGTACGAGGACAGCAGGACTTGTACGAGGACAGCAGGACATGTATGAGGACAGCAGGACATGCATGAGGACAGCAGGACGTGTATGAGGACAGCAGGACGTGTATGAGGACAGCAGGACATGTATGATGACAGCAGGACATGTATGAGGACAGCAGGACATGTATGAGGACAGCAGGATATGCATGAGGACAGCAGGACATGTATGATGACAGCAGGACGTGTACGAGGACAGCAGGACATGTACGAGGACAGCAGGACATGTACGAGGACAGCAGGACATGTACGAGGACAGCAGGACATGTATGAGGACAGCAGGACATGTATGAGGACAGCAGGACATGTATGAGGACAGCAGGAC